TACGAAAAAACTCGAGCCAATCATCTCAAAAGTGAAAGAGCACGTTTAAAACTTAAGAATCGTTTTGAAAATACAAAAAATGGGTCTGGAGTGGCTGAACGAAACAAGACGAACCAAATTGGCCAAATCTGTTTGAACAGGTCAACAGTGTGTCAGAAAACCCAAGGACAAACACATGGGACACCCATGCACCCGCTTTCAGTGGGCCTCCGACAGCGAATCTTCTGGGAAGGAATCATCTGAAGGAGTGATGTCAGATCCAGTGTCGATGTTACTGCAGGTTGTTGGGAAGGATGGATTCCAGTAAAGCAGCTGCAAGGGTAACTTCAAACTGAGAGTAGAGCACTTTCTTGTTTCTGTGGTGCTGAAACTTGGTGGAGCAGCCGATCGGACCCCTTTGAGACCAATGGCAGGGGCAGTGTTGACCACCTCCTGCTGGTGGCTAGCGATTGTGTTGGCTGACAATTGTTTTTTTTTCTCCTGCCTGTTGTTGCTGACGGCTGTTTTAGTCCTTAAGATTTTTTATTGGTTTTTTTTTTGGGGAGGGGGGTAGAAGTAGGATTGTATTTTATGAAATTAGAATAAGTTAACAAGGACAGCATGATGAATCAAGTTTAGGTTTTCATATTAACTGATGTGGGCCAAAGAGAGCTTCAATACAAATTCAGAGAACTTTTTATTAAAAAAACTAGGAGATCTTGGATCTCAATAATCAAAACGTTATCTCAGTGTATGAATATAACCATCAATACTCTTTAATGAAGTTAAGATACCAGAATACATCAAAGTTTGAAATCTAGAAAAACCTAGTAAATAGAAAAATAAATTAAATAGAAAAGATTAGGAAATCTAGGAAAGGGGAAAATAAATTAAATAAAAATATTTAGGAAAATAAGAAATCTAGGAAATAGGAAAATAAATCTTTCTATTTTCCTTTATTGTAAAAAGGATCCAAAAGTTATAAAATCTTTCTATTTCTTTTAGTTAAGTTCTCAAAGAGTTTATATTTCTTTATTGGTTCTGACTCATCTTCTATTATTGGAATTTGCTAATTTTAGAAGTTCCCTATTTTGCATCAATTATATTACAAATTCATATGCAAGTAAACAATTTTGGAACAAATTTGTTCCACCAAAAAGAAAGAACAATTTTGTTTCTTTCTTTTTCTTGGTTTTTTACTGTTATGTTCCTCAAATTTTTGGTACCAAATATAGGACAAAACACTTTTAATGAACTTGGGAATGTCATAAGAATTTCAAAATTCTATGAGCATGACTATTTGCATTCATAAATGTTTGTGAACTGAGTATTATTTTGGTCCAAACAGTTGATTGTAGAATTCATAAAGAAGGAAAACATTCGATTAGCGGGAAAGCCGTCAGCAGAAGTATGGTTGGGGAGAGACACAAGGCCTAGTGGAGAATCTCTCATTGAAGCTGCAAAAGAGGTATAGAAGTTTTTATTTTTCCCTTCTATTTTTCTCATATTTCCTTGAGGGTAGACACTATATTAATCCCTCCAAATATTGTTTGAATAAAAAAAATGAAAATAATTGATTGGTCAAATAAAATAATTACAAGACAAATAATTGATTAATTGAGCTTAGCCCATGTTTAAATGGGATTAAATAAATAAAAGTTTGGACCCAATTATTTTGATAGGTTTTTCTTACTTTAGACATGGGCCTATTTAGTAAATTAGTCTTTAAATTGTGGGCCTGCAAGTGGATCCATATCAGCACCTAACTGATTCTAGCATTTTAAGTAAGCTCTAGCCATTGAGCTATTTCTACAAATGGAGGTCTTCTACTCAAGTAAAGGAGAATGCAGAAAGGGTTGCAGGGAAAGAACAAGAACAAGACTCCTCTTTCAAGCTTTCCTTCCAAGCCACAATAAAGAGCAAGCTTGATCATCTTTAAAACCTCTCAAGCCGAGAGAAAGTGCAAGCCTCATTTTTTCAATTCCTATCTCAAAGCAAGAGTAGCCTTGTCCTCCTAACTCATCCTCCTAAGACTTAAGGCAAACAAGAGATCTCAATCATTCAAGCAAGCAATCAATCAAATTCTTGGTTGCAATCAAGCCATTGAAGCAATTAAATCTAGGTTTGCTATAAAATACTCCTCCGAGAAGCAGAAAAGCCATTATATCAATTGTAGAAAAACATCAAGTTTCCAGGTCTTCTCCATGGATCTAGACAAGTCTTCCTTCAAAGACATTCAGAGATGATCATCAACCAAGAAAAGAAACACAAAGTTTTTTACTGTTCTTCAATGGTTGTCTTCCCACCAAATTCATCTCCTTAGAAATTAAGCAAATTTGCCCTTGGATGCTGTATCCATTATAAAGACATCTAGATTTCAAGCCTTTTTGGGTTCTAAATTATTCTCTCGCAAAGACATCAAACTCGATAAAAGATCAAGAATTACCAAGTCGTTAACTGTTGCTTCACGGATTGCTTCTCAACAAATTCACCGTCTTTAGCATAGAGCAATTTCTTCCCAGGTTAAGAACAAACTAAAGGAGATCGAATCATAACAACATAAAAAAAATTATTTTCAAAAACAGAACAGAAACTATGTTTTTTCCCTTTTTATATAAGAATGTTCTTATGATTCAATCTCCTTGAATTTGTTCTTAACCTGGAGAAGAATAGATAAATTGACTATTTTGTAACATTAGTTTTGTTTGTCTATCTCACACACGATTCTAATTCATTGCCTTTGTTGTCCATTTGGAGGGAATTAACTCGATTATTGGAGCAGCTGTACTTGACTTTGGAGTTTTAACCACTCCACAACTATATTGGATGGTTCGTGCTAGAAATAAAGGATGGAAAGCAACTGAACAGAATTACTTTGAGCAGCTTTCAAGTTCATTCAGGTTTGTTTGCACCATAAATGTTCTTAACAGTAAATCTTATTTGCAATGATAGTATCTTTGCTGAAGGTTTTATATGATTGTTCAGGTGTTTGATGGATTTGACTCCAAATGGAATTAAGGTAAATGAGGAGGATGATAAACTGATTGTGGATGGTGCTAATGGTGTGGGTGGAGAGAAACTTGAGATTTTAAACAACATGTTGAATAATTTAGCTATTGAGGTTCGTAATTGTGGAAATGATGGAGGGATACTGAATGAAGGAGTCGGTGCTGATTATGTGCAGAAAGAAAAGGTGATTCCGCGTGGATTTGGGTCCAAAGATGTTGGGAAAAGGTCAGCAATCCTTTCACTATGTTTCATTTGTTTTTATCTTTTTTCCGGACTCAATGCCTTCACCATGTAAATTAATCAGGCATGTCAGTTGGATGTTACGGGCCCACCTTGTGGGTTGGTATTTAGGGGTAGGCAGCCGGTTTAGGAAGAAGCAGGAAATAATTTTCAGTTTAATTTTTCTAAACTTTCTTTTTCTTTTTGTTAAAGGGGGTAAATTAGGTTAAATAGTATAAAGGTAATTTACATCTTCAGTAATTTATTGTAATTAATTGTTTATTACTTTTTTTCTTTCTAAAAACTTATTATTTAAAGTTATAATATTCAATAAAATACACATTAAACTATTTTTAACATGATATTAGAATTTTATATTAGGAAATTCTAAATCCTATACAAACTCTATTCAACTTTTATTGTCGAAATAAGAAAACCCTAGAGAGGCCAACCTTCATTGTCAACCACCACAACCCTAGTTGCCAACCACCACAGACCAACCACCCCCACCACAAGCTGACATCGTAGTCGGCCATCTCCATCAAGATTAGCCTTCATTGCCCAATCTAGTTTGCAGCAACTGCCGTTCACAACTCTCTTGGTGGCCTTCAACATGACTAGACGTGAGCGAACCAGATGAGCCACACCACTAGTTGTGACATTGCTCTTTGTTGCGACCAGACGCGACTCACAACCACGACACTATCTTCGAACCCTACGATTCGCACCACCAGTCGCGACACTGCTCTATTGTGACCCAACGCGAAACTAGAACGCTAGAAACACTTGTGGCGTCTGTCCAGAACCCTATCTCTCTGTCAAACCCAGCTTGTGCCTTCTGTCTAGAACCCTAGCCTATTAGAATCTTAACCCACGGAGATGAGCATGGATATGAACATAGGCTAAGTAACCAAAGACTTTGAGTGGAAGGGTGTTTAGAACATGAGATTTAGGGAAAGTTTGTAAGAGGAGGTTATAAGGTGATTGGAAATGTAGGATACGGGAATACATTCTGTTTATTAAGTATGTAGATGTGAGTATTATCTCTTTCCAAAGATATTTAGGAACATGAGTGGTAAACATGATTGATCGAGAAACCTTAAGAATATATCTGTTTTTTCTTTTTGCTATGCCATCTTGCTGAGGGGTATTGACACGAGATTTGGTGGATAATGCCTTGTTCAGTAAAGTATTTTCCGAAAGTGGTTTCAAAATACTCACATGTGTTATCAGATTTCAACACTTGTATCGTGGTATGAAATTGAGTTTGAATCATAGTATTAAATTTCTGAAATATGGATTCAACTTCAGATTTTCTCTCATGAGGAATACCCAGGTAATTCTAGTATGGTCATCAATGAAGAATACAAACCACTTAGTTCCGGTAATGTTAGTGACCCTGAAGGTCCCCATACATCACTGTGAATTAATGCAAATGGTTTTGAGAATTTGTATGATAGATTAGGAAAGGAACCTCGAATATGTTTAGAGAATTGACACATTTCACATTGAAATGAAAGTGAATTTTTATTCTTGATCAAATTTCAGGTATTAGAAATTTGGGTGTCCTAGTCAATAATGCCACAACATGATATCATGATCATTATTTGAATGACTTACAAAAACAGAATTTGCATATACTGCATTATGAATTTGTCTTCTAGAGGCGTCAGCTTAAAGAAGGTACAGCCCCGAATTCATCCTAGCATTACCAATCGTCCTCTCCGAATTCAAGTCTTGAAATTCACACAAGTTTGAGACAAATTTAGTAATACAAATTAGGTCTCCAGAAAATTCGCTAACAGATAAGAGATTACAGTCGAAGTTTGGGACATATAGAACTGAATGGAGGGTCAAATACGGTGATAAAACTATATAACCCATTTCTGCCACTTTAGAAATTGATCCGTCGGCAATTTTTAGAGTGAGTCTCTCTTTACATGGACTATATTGCTGAAACAGTGACACATCACCTGTCATGTGGTCAGATGCCCTGGAGTTTACAATCCACATTTGTCTTTTTATGGAGTAAGCTGACAAACCAAGTAGAGTTTTACCTTTGTGTGCTACCGATGCATTACCAAGGTGATTCTTCTGATAGAACATCCTTTGAAGAGCTTCCATTTGCTCTGGACTAAATGAGCTGCTTTCCACAACAAATAGTGGTGTGTCTTCAGCAGTCGCATGGTTTCCTTGGTGGTCGTTGAGGGTTTCAAATTTTGAGGATTTTCTGTCACCAGGTTTTCCATGGAGTTTCCAGCACTTCTCGCATAGGTGGCCTGGTTTCTTGCAGTTGTCACACCATGGACGTCCTCTCTTCCCACGGGAATCATGCATTCGGGTTGTAAGTGCAGAAGCATTTTCGATCATGTGGGTTTTTTGTGTATCTCCCATTATCACTTTCTTTCGGCTTTCTTCTCGAAGAATATCGAAGAACACTTCTCAGACGCTCGGTAATGGTTTAATTCCTAATACTCGTCCTCGCACCTCATCCAGATTCTTGTTTAATCCCATTAGAAACTTGAAGATTCTTTTCTACTCAATAATCAATTTGAAGACTTTGGCATCTTCAGGACAACTCCAACGATATTCTTCAAACACTGCCAGTTTCGAGTGAGAGTTATAAAATTGAGTTACAATTAAATCACCTTGTCGCAGGTCATGAAGGGTGGATTCAATCTTGAAGATGGCCGAAGTATTGTCCTTGCTGGAATAGAATTCCTGAGAAGCTTCCCAGATTTCGTGTGCGATTTCATAGAGTAAAAAGTTCTCCCCAATTTCGAGTATCACGGAATTCACTAACCACGACATAACCATGTTGTTTTCAATTTTCCATGTTCGATCATTCGGATCATTGGCTGGTGGTGGTACGATTTCGCTGATGAGGTATTCATCTCGGCCTTTTCCCCAAATAAACAACAACACTGATGACGACCACTGGAGATAGTTGTTGCCGTTTAATTTGTGTTCGGTAATGAATGACGAAGACTGTTCAACCAGTCCATGGTTGATGGGTCCAGGAAGATAGGAACCCAAGGAAACCTCGGGTGGAGAAGACGGTAGCTCACACGTGGCCATCTGTAATTTTGGCTCAGTTGGAATGATGCTTTGGATCAGAGTCACTTTGATACCATGAAAATTATGAGAATGGAAAAATTCTCTTCTTATCTTATTATTCTCATCATGAGGTGCTTATTTATAAATAGGAAATACAACTAATTCCTAACAACTTTATGGGAGTATGGGATAACAATATTTGGTTATGAGCATCCTCTTAAACCACTTGGTGGTTTTCCTACAACAAGCAAATAGAAATGAAACAAACTCCTTTTATGATTTTCTACACTTAATTTACAATATCTAAATGTATATATATATAGGAGAAAATTAGAAAGTTTTAATAGAAAACTAAATACAAAATTAATCTCATAAAAGGAAAAAGTATCCTAGTTATGAACGTTATCTATTCTTCTCTATAAGTTTGTATAGAAATATGACTTCTACAAGAAGTCGGATTCCTACTGTAGATTACTTCTTCAAATATATTTACTTCATCCTCTTTCTCGACGCTATACTGCAGTAAATGCTGCTTGGTCATTCTCTAATCATAATTTCAAATTGCATGGCTTGTGGAGACCTTGGGAAGTGATTGGGACATCAATTTCAATATTAATTTTTGACTGAATTGTTTCACTTGAGTGGACGAGACCCTGCTTTTCTTTAGCTTACTCATCTGCAAAGTGATGGTCAAACAGAAGTATTCAATTGTACTGAAATACATTCCACTGTTTTATCAGCAAACAGCCTCAGAAATGGGTGGATTGGTTTCCATGGGCGAAGTATTACAATCAAAATGCAGGTTTCTGTTTGGTCTGCATTCGTTCCCTTTGCTATTTTGACATCTTCATTATTCTCCAGGCCTTGCAGAGGTGGAAGTAGTGGATTGTGAATTGAAAACTCGAAGAGGCTTTTGTTTTATTTGCAGAGTCATCCACTTCAGGTTTAATATGCTATAAAGATGCAATACGAGGCTATCGTCATGAGGTTACTTTCAGCTATTGATGATATGGTACTATGAGACTTCATCGTTACCATTATATGTCCTTAGCCACTCAACAGGAACTGAAGCTTTCACCAAAGTTCTATGGTCTTCTCAAAACTTTGGAACTGGCTTTTAAGCTGGAAAATCTACCAGACACATGCTTCCCATTTTCTATGTCGCACCTTTTAAACCTTTTCATGTTGGAGTTTCTGTTGAACCATGTTTTCCTTCTATTCATCAAGTGACAGCCTTGCCCACTCTATAGCTAGTGTTAGACAAATGGATTCATGATGGTCAGCCTGAAATCTTCATTCATTGGGTTCTCTTTGTTGCCTACTGAAGCTTCTTAGGATCTCTCTCTTCTATGAGTTCCATTATCCATGTTTTGTGCTTGAGGAAAAGCACATATCGAGGGAGGGAGTGATATATCAGGGCAAAGCTGTTTGGTTTGGTATATAGGCAATAGGCTGCAGGTTCAGAATATTTAGTTCTTCCATTTGATTCTTTCAAACCTTCCACTTTGTTTTATTATTTCTGTAACTGATTTTGTTAATCTATTTTTTCAATAAGCTCCTAGCTTTTTAGAAGGACAGTTAGATCTCTGTAATATGATTTCCTGGGTATGGTAATATTGTTCAAGAAAGTTGTTATGGAGAAGTTGTTGCCCTGATAAAAAGACCAGGACTGATATGAATAAATCTTTGGGCAGAAAATTCAGAAACTTCTTTTGTTCTTTAATTTTATGAGATTCAAGGTTATCTATAGCAGGCCACTATTAGTAACTCACAATAGGTCGTAAAAGAAGAAACTTTCACAAGAATTCAAGTTCCTCTTTAGCTTTGTATTGATCACTCACAAGCTGTAATAACTCACAAGTTGTACTCTTATGATTTTCTAATTCCTAAATTAAATTGTTTTCAATATGAATCCTGACATCTATCAAAAGAATCAAATCAATGGAAGTATGGCATACTTTGATAAGAAAGAAAATCAAGTAAATTTTTTGGCATTTTGAACAACTGATTGATTAGTTGACATATGATCCAAATCCGAGGGGGTTGATGATAACTTGGGCTTTATTTCAAAATGCAGGTTATCAAAACAATATGCACAGATTTGATGGATTTCTTGCTTAACACACCTGTTTTATGAGGATGTTTAATAAGTTTTATCTCAATAAAAGGTTGATATTTTTTCTGGCAGTAATCAATTGATGAGTTTAGTAAAGCAATGAGCACTATGGGAGTTATTTATTACTGATTGTAACTTTAGTTTAAAAAAAAAAATTTACTGATTGTATCTGATACAACTTGCTCCTTGGATGCTGGCTCAGCCCTGACAAAATTAACCTGAGTTTTGAGCAAGAATTCTCCCTCCCTCCCTCCCCTCCCCTCTCTCTCTCTGATCGTTAGGTGTAGAGGAGTATTAAATCAAAATCAACTTGAGAATGTGAAAGGTTGATTGTTTACTACTAAATTCCATTTCTTATAAAATGACATCTATCCTCTAGAGGAGGCAATTACTGTTTGGTGATCTTAATTATTCAGGTGTGCGAGTTTGGACGGGGATGCTGATCGTCTCGTATATTTCTCTGTACTTTCAGACTTGAGCAATAAGGTTGATCTTGTTGATGGGGACAAGATATTATCTTTATTTGCAATATTTGTTAAGGAGCAACTGAGTATACTTTATAAGGGAGCAGATCCGGAGACTCATAGCAGTTATCAAGCTCGTGTTGGGGTTGTGCAGACAGCTTATGCTAATGGAGCATCCACGGATTACCTCAAGCAGTCAGGTCTAGAAGTTGTCTTGACTCCAACTGGGGTGAAATTTTTACATGAGAAAGCTGCTCAGTATGACATTGGTATATATTTTGAGGCCAATGGCCATGGTACCATCCTGTTCTCAGATGGTTTCTTATCTTGGTTAGAGGCCAAAAATAATGAGCTGGCTTCTATATCTGAAGGTGAATTTTGATACGGACCCTACCAGTTCTAGCACTGGTATTTGGTATATGAAATGTTCACTAGCTTATTCACATGTTTCAGGTTCAGAAGAGCAGAAAGCAGCTTTGAGACTATTGGCTGTCAGTAGGTTGATTAACCAAGCTGTTGGAGATGCTTTGAGTGGTTTGCTTTTAGTGGAGTCTATTCTGCAATACAAGGGATGGTCAGTCCATAAATGGGCTGGACTTTATGAGGATCTACCAAGTAGGCAGCTTAAGGTACATTTCCTTAATTGCTTTTAGTGAAGAAGTCTTAGTTTGATTATCTTTTCCAGTAATCCTTTTTTCTACAATATATGATCTCTTTATAGATTTAGCTAGGGATTTTACTAGAGATCTGACTCCTTTCTTTTTCAGTTAATCTACTATAGAGAGTAGATTTATGTAGTTATCTAATTTTTCAGGTTTAAGATAACCCACCTTAAGAGAAAAAGTAAACCATGTAAATGGTTTGCCTCTTTTTTTAACATATTAAAGCCAAAACAAAATGTTTCTTATAATTTTGTTTCTATTTTTTGGTCTAAAGTATAAAAAAAGATTGTGTTGAAAAAAGTCATTCTATAGTTATTTGATCTATAATTTCTCTGAAATTAAGTTAAAACTTCAAATGAAAAATGTCCAATGTTAGAATAGTTTACACTGGCCCCTTGTACACCTCAGTTCTTTGTCATGTACCTGCTATAATACAGAAAGTAGCTGAAGCTTGGTTATTGTGTGAAATTCATTTCTCAATCCATACTTTTTCTATTAGAGGACATGAAAGTCCTTTATAAATATTAAAATGAGATCATATGAAATTTCATGTAGAATTGGAACAATACATTGTGAATTCCATCAAACTTCATATATGCTCAATTTTTATCATCTTCTAATAGAATTTCTGTTTCTCCTAGTCACAAAAGGTGTAAATTTCCAAATGAATCCAACACAAATTCTACATTTGTTACAAACTTAGCCAAAATCATATGACATGCTTATGGAGTGCCTATTGAAATGTCAGATAACAAATGAACTCAACTTAAATTTACAATAGAATAATGTAATGTTTAGAAGATTGAAAAAAAAATTGCCAGCTAAGATGTTTGACTCAGCTTATAATTTGGTTAACATCATTTTGAAAAGTCTTCAATCGCATTTCAAATTACTGATATGTCAGGTGGAGTAGGAATATTGTAGAATGAGTATTAAAATTAGCTCGTTACTGGTTTGAGAATTGTGCTTCTTATTTGGCAAAAATGTTATTTGTTACTATTTTCTTATTTTAGGGATTTTTATCACATTATATAATACATTGTTGATTCTTTATTTTGTGACGGGACTGCTTTTGAATAAAAACTATTGATTTTCTCTGACTGAGTTGAGTGCCCAACAACCTTGTTATTGTGGTTTTGACAATTTTGTGATTGCATTTATCTTTTATTTTCATGAATTTTTCTATCTTACTCAACTATTTTCTTCTGCATAATTGTTTTCAAATTAGAACTAAAATTCCTTACTTTGGTATCAAATTTATAAAATCTGAACAAAATTTAGATCAGCCAAAGCTACAAAACTAGAAAACTTAGAGTCTCAGGAGAGAGGAATGATAAATAAGACTTTTGGCTTTAGCCAGATCATCAACCGTCACTGGGAGGTGGACTTTACCGCCACCACCATTTGTGCCAGAGGCTTTCGACAGATTGCCCTACCATATTGTAACTTGAAATAGCACCGTAATTAGCTGCACTGGTTGTCCAACCCTTGAATCCCCACTGCCTTGTTGGAGCCACCCTTCTTTGTACTCTTCAGCAACATCTGACATCTGATTCAGAACCCATCATTGTTGGATGAAGCTCTAGTTGGAGTCCCAATGTTCGAAAGTCAATAGAAGCCAGTGATTGAATCTCACGTGTGCGTGAACTGTGATGAGGATTGTCATGTTACTCCATCTCACACAGAAAGTCTTTTTTAACCAGTTCACCCATATATAGACTGGTTCTTGATGGGTTTAGACAATTTCCTAAGTTTTTCTACCTTGTTCTCACATTTTTTATGATCTGTTTGGACAAATTCGCAACCTCTACCCACTTTTTGAGCAGATTGACTATTTTACCCATAACAGCATAAGAATAGCACCTTTAGCAGAAAAAGAAAATTATTTCAGTTGCTCTCACCGTAAATTTTGGAAAAACAGCTCCATGGGTTGTGAACTCGGGAGCTTCGGATTATATGACGGGTGATGCAAACTTTTCCATAATCACAATGCATGCCAAGAAGGCCTTACTGTGAAAATAGTCGATGGGTCCCTATCTAAAGTGGCTTGAATAGGTTTTAGCATGATCTTAAAAGAATTAACCATAAATTTAATACGTTATGTTCCTAACTTGGACTGTAATCTTTCCTCAGTTAGCAAGCTAACTCAAGATTATAACTGTTTTGCTAAATTTACCTCAGATTTATGTGAATTTCAGGATTTAATTTGTGGAGGTATACTTAGGATTTTTCTCCTTAAAGTTAGTGAACTTCTTAGAAGACAAACCTGTAATGCAATATTGTGGCACTATCGTGTAGATCATCCTAATTTTTCTTACCTTCAAAAAATGCTTTCACTTTTGTTCAAGAATAAAAATCTAAAACTTTTTCAATGTGAGGTGCGTCAATTTTTTTAAAGTATTTGTAATTCCTATCATTTTTTACCTTACAAGGTATCTTATCCATTTCCAAGATGTATAGTGGTGTTTGGGCCCATGTACAATAAAGAATGTTACTGACACTAGTTGATTTATATGATTTATAGATAATCGCACTATGAATCACCTAGTTGTTCCTTATAAGAGAGAAATCGGAAGTGGGCCAAATTTTTAAAAAATTAAATACTATAATTCAAACTCAATTTCATAATAAATACAAAATATTGTAAGCCGATTATGCAAAAGAATATTTGAGACAATTCTAAGCGATTATCATGAGAGTCAAGAGATTGCCCATCAGAGTTCATGTGATGTAGAATAGTAAGAGACTAAAGTGGGTATATTCCTATTTAGTTATATATTTATATAATCGTAACGTTATTGTAATGTTAAGATATTTAAGTTATTTAGAAATTAGAATCAATTTAGAATAAGTTTATCATTTCCTATTTAGTTAGTATCTTATTTAGTTATCTTCTAATATAGTTTATTCTACTTAATTAGCTTGTTTTCCTATTTATGAGGATTTCTAGATAGTTTGAGAAATTTCTAGTTTACTTTAATTTGATACCTATAAATGGAATACCCTGGCTTTGTTATTAGGTAGACTTTTCATAATTTATTATTTAAATATTGAGATATTATTTTAATTATTGAGATTTGAGATCTCCAAGTTTTATTCTTAATAAAATCTTCTCAAGAAGCCAACAATAGTATACTACAAAAAAAAGGATAAAAAGGAAAATGTACTCACGTGTGCAAAAGGGAGTTTTCTTATTGTAACAAATTATATGATGTAGGAGGAACAAGAAAAGATTGTTTTGACTGTAACAGCCCCGGCATGTCCAAAAGAAATAAATTATAAATTAAGTGCGGAAGCAAAATGAATAGTTAAGGTTTACATTCTTTACACAATAACTTAAAGTACCGAATAGTGTTACGGAAATTACCTTTTTGAAAGAAATATAAAAAAAATAAGAAAATAAGCGGAAAATAAATAAAATTAGCATCCTACTCGCAACCCTCTTGTGGATTGAGCTCTGGATGCTGATCCTCTTAATCTAAAATTGTTAAATAAGAGATAAGTTAAACTACCCCAGTAAGAATATCACGCTACTCACTGACACAGAAATAAAAATTGGTAAAAAATCAAAACAACTAATAGAGCACTTAATTAAACAAATGCATTTATTAATAATAAAACCATTTACCGTCCACTTACCGCAGCGAAATTTATAAAAATAACCTAAATAGACAATAACATAGCTCTTATCATGATTTCATATGCAATCGGTAACATGCACATATTATAAATCCATATTCAATAAATCAAACAACAACTGTCTCTTTTTATCAGTTTGCTAGTATCCATGGGGGTTTATAGGGATGTTCCCGCTTCACGTGAATCTTTTCCTTTAACATTCTAACGGCCGTCCCCATACCCCGTCCGGTATGAGCGTCAAATTACTAAACGTCAATACTCCGTACGGCATAAGGGTGAAACAGGCCGTCCCCATACCCCATCCAGTATGAGCGCCAAATTATCAAGTCTTGATACCTCGTCCGGTATGAGACAACGTTCACGGTAGGATTTCCTATTGTACCCGGTCCGTTCACCATCTCCCAGTATATTCAGTAAGGTTGCCGTTTCATTTATTCACTAAATCACACAATTTTTCGTTTTTTTTCAATTTTCATTTTCCAATTCAATAGTAATCACATAAATCAAACAATACATAAATTCAAAACTACAAAATCAATCAATGAAATACTATCATGCAATTAACTAGAAAATAATTTAATAGAATTAACAACAGATAATTTTCAATTCTGGCTCCATTAGTAACCCGTAATTAATTATGAATATTTTTTAAATTACACCAAATACCGTATTGTTATTTATTTAGACTTCAATTCCATAACAGAGAATAGGGTGAAAGATTCTTACACAATTTGATGCTCGAAAAGCTAAGCTGTTGACTGCATCTACTGGCGGTCTCTAGGTTCTCAAAATTTTTTTTCAGGAATTAAAACGCGCTATAACTATCTACAAATGTCCCAAAAATCTAAAATCAGTCTCATGACCCATTTTTGGCCAATTCTAGAATTCTGGCACAGCAGCTCCGCCGTGCTCCGGCAACGGTACCGCCGTCCAGTGTGGCAGTCCGCCTCGGGTCAGCTGTTTTCAGCCGAATTCGAACGATTTTGCATCAATTCCTGCGATAAAATACGTTAAGGAGCCTCGATTGGCCCAAAAAACCGAAACTTACCGTCAGCGGGGCTCTCTGGTGCGATGGCTCCTCCGGCTCACGTTGCGGTTGAGTATTTTACTCCGATCAATCTGTAGAGAAGGAAACGGTGATCACAATGGTGAAAAAATTACGCAAAACGGGAATCAGGAAGGGCCTTATCGGAGGCGTTTTGTAAAATTTCTCGCGGCGGTGCCGCTGGTCTTTTCCCGCGGTTTTCGGCCAATTTGCCAGTCTTTTTGCTCCGATTTGGCCATAGGGGTGTTTAAAATTGAATTCCGAGTAAAGGGAGAAATTTTTA